TACTGTTGCATGTATATACATAATTAACAACAAACAAATTTTATTTACTTTAAGTTGATTGCATTAATTTAATTTCGCTGTATCTACTTTGGTATATCAAAATTCCGCGGAAAAGGTTCTCATGTGATAAGATATTAAATTAATTTATCAAATAATTTGATATAGACGTCGTGTCTCGCCTACATACTTTCATACATAAATACATTAATACTCTTATATACAAACATTTTGATATGAACTTTAAACTAATCAGCAACGAGCGAATGAAAAGCAAAAACATTTTGTATTCCCAGTTCACATAAAATTAAGCATTTAATTACCAAATTAATTTTAAACACAATTAATTTTAAATGTTTTTTTTTTTTTGTTTTCATTTATCATTAAGTTTGGTTAAAAGATATTAATTTTTTATTATTTATAGCTTATTTACAAAAATTACTTGCCTACCGGACTTACAGCGCTTAAATGTATTGTCACCTTTAAGTACATTGATTTTTTTAACACTTCTATTTCGACTATCTGTTGCTCATTAAATCTTAATGAGCTTCATCATCATCATCAAATGAATAGCAAAATTTTCGTATTTGCCCAATATAAAAAATGTAATTTATTCATTTATTTCATTTTCAAATTTATTTCCATTTTTTACATGCTTTTCTCGAACGAGAGTAGCGTTTACATCTAAAGATAATTATAAATTTTGAGTGGCGAAAGTGTCTGAAAATAGTTAATTGCTATAATAACTCAATGCATTATTTAGGAATTTTTTTCTTCTTTTTTACTTTATAAAGCAAAGCTCATCAATGCTTATGACTTTGTCTTTCTATTTCTTAATTAACCATTTAATTTCTTAAAGTGGGAAAATTTACAATTGATTATTAAATTTTTTATATTGTTTAGGAACTCTGCATAATAGATGTTTTAAAAGATAGCAGCATTCATTATTAATTAAGTTAGTTAATCAATTTAATTGTTAGATGATAATTATCAGCTTACTTAAAAGAATACAAACATTATTTAAGCAAATATCTGGTAATACTCTGATATTCACCACTATAAACATAACAGCAACAGTTATTTTTTTATAGTGCAGCACTAGTTAATGAAATCCTTTTGATACCACTGGCTGATAAAGGGTTGTAAGATAGTTTGTAAACAAAAAAATGCATATACAACAGCAATAACTTCAAACAGTTAATAAATACAACGTAAACTTACTCCATTTAAAGTGCAACTTATTTGTAGTCCTGAGACACTATCAAAGACCTAAATCAATTTAGCTTATTCGGTTCAACAACAGATAAGCTGAAATGTCTTTCAGTTTAAATTGCTTTAGAATTAGTGTAATAATCACTAATTTATTAACTAGACACATTCCTGTTCTCCTACTCCACTTATGCATTATTTTCTCCTAGTGAAGCCATCGTTTTTTCCCCAATGAAGCCATCGTCTTTCCCTGTGAAGCCATCTTTTTTTTCAATGAAGTTATCACATTTCTCTGTGAAGTAATCGCATTCTCGCTGTGAAGTGTTTTTCCCAATGAAACCATCGCTTTCTCTCTGTAAAGTCATTTATTCCCTGTAAAACCATCGCCGTCTCTCTGTGAAGTTATCGTCTTTCCCCAATGAAGTCATCAATTCCTCGCTGTAAAGCTATCGTCTTCTTCTAGTGAAGCTTTAGGTCTTATCCTCCTTACAGCTGCGGCAAAATATTTATTAAAATGCATATTCAATTTCTTGTTTGGTTTCCTAATCGACAATGACAATGTCAACATACCACTAATCTTTTATTGAAGTAATAGTAATGTATACATGGTTAGATTTTCCTTTTACAATTTTTCGCTATCTTTTATAGTGACATTAACGGCTTTATTAGTATACTAAATTTTTATTGTCGAATTTGTGTAGAAATTCTTATTTTCTACAAACAATTGATTAGGATTTTGAGATTTTAATTATCATAGATCACAATGCGTCTGTCCATCAGGTTGCAGTGTTTTCTGGCCATTAATAATAAATAATGTTGCAGTCAGAATAATTCTTAACATACTTTTATTGCAAATAGTAATTTAAGTAAGAGGAAAATATATTGAAAACACAAACAACACGAGATTACACTTTAAAAAAAAAAACCGTATAATTTTTTTAAAAGTTAGTATGGAATATAAGTTAACACAGTACACCACTAGGCATATTTGATTCCACAGAATTATCTTAACCATTGTAAAAAATTATACTGCCGTTTTTTATAGTTTCATTTAGTGAGGATTGCGTTTTTAGTATTTATTTTTAATATATACGTATATATCTATTTTACACAATATTTTATATAAGCGTATTCAGCACAAATCGGCAACTCGATATTCGGTAAACTTTTACATATCAAATGAAAACAAATTATACATAAATATTAATCTATAAATTTTTTGACCGGATTTGGACAAATTCAGATTGATTATTTAATACATAAAAATTTTAAATATTAAAAATATTTGTTGTAATTGACATTTCAACTATAATCTATAGGCATCTTCAAGATACTGACATAATAAAAACTTTTTTAATAATATAGCAACAAATTATATTAGAGATTTTTTAATAAGTACTTCGAATAATGAAACGATCCGAATTATACTCAGCTAATTTTTTTGGCAATATTTTAATTACTAGCAGCTTATTTACTTTTTTCCCTTTAGAAATATTAAAGATTACTACTAAGGCCGTGTGCGAGTTCGGTTAAATTGATGGTAAATTGAATGAAATAGTAAATTATATCGTTATAGCAGCGAATGTTGGTATTTACCAGAATTTCGGTTAAGGTGTATTTGATAAAAAATTAGATAAATTAGGTGTTACCATGTGAAAACTTTATAAGATATTTAATAAATAAATAAATAAATTTGAAAACTTTTAACCAAAAATAAAAAAGAACTGCAATAAATAAATTGATGGTAAATTGAGGGAAATAGTACATTATGTCGGTAAGGTAGCGAATGTTGGTATTTATTAGAATTTCGAGTAGGGTAAATTTGATACAAATTAGATAAATTAGGTATTACCTTTGATTTTGTAAGATGTTTTATAAATAAATTTGAAAACTTTTAACCAAAAATAATAAAGAAATGCAATAAATAAATAAATAAATATTTACATAAGTGCAGTGCAAAAAATCCCTAGAAAATTTCAATTTACTTTATCTCAATTTACTCAAATTCGCATACGGGCTAAATTACTGAGAAATCATTTGAGTTTCTGTAATTATACTACTAATTGTAAATTTACTATCAAATTTCACAATTTTTTTTTATCATCTTTTATTATTAATTTGGGAATAACTTACGATGACCCTGTGTGTTTTTTTTTTTGTAATTGATAGATAAAAGGTACTGTTAGCTTGTTTAGTTATTTCTTTTAATAACTCGCCTTAGCTTTAATAAATTATTTTTGACACCCTGCTGACCAATTACTTTTCACCTTCATTTTTTTTTTCAAGTTACAGTTTGCTGTTAATTATAGCATTAGTTAAATATCTACACTTGTTTATATAATTAATTCTTTTCCCACCACAAACGAACTTTCGAAAATTTGCTTATCTCAACATAATTTTCGAATATGCTAATAATACTGCCGTTGTTGGTTGGCATTAAAACTGACATTTAACATAGTTCAATCTATAAAGGTATGTAAATCTAAAATATAAAATTTTATTTTCCCACATTACAAATGTGTGAATTCTTTTTTTTTTATTTTATTTTATTTGTTTCTTGATTTTATTTAAAGGTTAACAGAAATCATAAAACGGTAACATTTAACAGCTGGTGGTTACATATACGAGCGCCAGCGTTGCTGAGCTTGTTTGAATTTTAAGATAAGTCGAACAGTCACGTGCAACCCTGTGTGCGAGTTTTTTTAGTATTTGTTTATTTTTTGTTTTGTTATTTCCTTATTTAGTTCCAAGATTCACGCTAATGTGGATTGTATCTGATTATTTGCAATTTCGATTTGTTCATTTCTGGCTGCTGTTGTCTACTTTTGATTCACACACAAAACATTCATTCATTCATATGCAATACACACGTTCTGAGCGTATATTCGCAAATAAGAAAATCTGTTAAATAAATTATTTCGTATCTTCGTAAGCTGTGTATGAAGAAAAAAAAATATATTGTGGTTTTAATGTCAATTATTTAAAGTATTTAGTGTAGAAAAAACAGTTCATTAGAGCAGAAATTGTATGCTGTGTCTGTGAAAATTGCAATTTATTTATGTGCTAATTTAGATGTGAAAACGAAGGAGAATACGACAAAAAACCAATATATATGTTTAAAAATGTATGCTATCAATTTACATATTTATATTTTATTAATTCAATTATTAAATATTATTATTTAGTTTAAGAAATCGAGAATATTAACTAAAATGTAGACGCCATCTTGCGTCGCAGTTTCTAATTCCAATTTTACATAGTTCTCGATTTTTTAATACTTGAAAAATGTGTTGTGTTTTGTTGTTGTTATTGTTCTACTGAATTTCATTTATTATAAATGAATGCGTCACGAGTTAAATTTTAAACCAAATTAACGAAAGTATATTTGTGCTGTTGAAAATACACTTGAAAAATTTATATAATGTAAAAGAAACAAAATTAAGGCTGGGCTTAGCGCATGTTGAGACTGAGACCTTTGAACATTTATAGTATTTATTACTGATTCTTATAATATAGTGTATTGTTTTATTTAATTTTTGTTGAGTTTTTTATATGTGTACATTATCTATTTAATAAATATAAATCTTTTAAGTTAATACGTTGCAGTTATATTAAAGTTATTTATTTAATACATTTTTTAAACATTTATAGAATTTAGTGTACCGAAGTTTTATTTGTGGAATATAAATTATTTTGTGGAACACATTATCTTTTCCACCCTTATGACATTTCCACATTAAACAGTTTGTTTGTTGTTGTTGATTTTGCGGCTGTGTTATCTACTTCAACGTTTATGTAGAATGTGTCATAAATTTAGTTTTTATTATGTTTGATGTTTGGGTGCAAGTGATGACAATGTTGAATAAATCTTAAGAAATATAAAATAAATATTTATAAATTATATATACCACGCCCCGACCGTTGCATTCATGCGGTCATCGCAAATACGCAAACTCAACATTTGGCTTTGTCTTGTCAAACGGCGGAGATATTTGCTTTGGCCATGAATTAAACAATGGCGACTGGTTTCGGTTTCAGCCGCGACTTCTAATTCGCATAAATTTATTATTAAAAACAAAACCAACAAAAAAAAATATTAAGCGTTAGTCAAAAATTATGTTTCACTTTGACAATATAAACGAAATATTATTAAAATTTAGTGTCTAATGTGCCTTAATTGACATTAATTAAGAAAACAGAAACGAAAAAAAAACGAGACAATGTGACAAAATAATAAATATGAAAAAATGAATTAAGCCTTAACTTAAATACCAGATAGTTATAGTTATATAAACAAATGTTTTTTTAATAAAACAAATAATTAAATGTGTGCTAATTGTGATGTGTAATGTTTTGTAACAGCTGCGGCAAGAACAAAAAAGAATGAGCAGCAAAAATTTTTCACCCCCCAACGCAAAGTGACAAACAAAAAAATTATTGCAGAGTTGTTTTTGTAATTACATAATCCAACAACTATAAACAAACCATGCCAAATAAACACTCGCACATAAGTTTAAAAATAAATATTTTTATATAAAAATAAAGTACTACACCCAACAGATATAAAAGGAAAAGAGAGATTTATTTAAATAACATTAATATAATTTGCTGCATTATTGCGGTAGCGGGGGATCTAGTCTACTACTGTCACCCATTTAGTGTCTTCACATATTTTCGCAAACAAAAACAAAACAAAAAAAAAACAAAAACAAAAACAATTGCTGTCTAAAATAAATAAAAACACTCCACCATCACCACCACCACCGGCGCTCCACCATTCTTTAATAACAGCAACAGAGATTATAACTTGGCCTTGTGCAAAATTTTGAAATTGTTATGGAAAAAAATGTGGCGCCGCCAATTAAATCCGGCGAGCATCGATTTTATCAAATGGATGTGGATGCAGGGAATAGTAATGACAGCAGCAACACCAAAAACAGCTGTGACAACACCACTAACAGTAGCTGCAGCAACACCACCACTGTCAGCAGCTCTAATGGTGTTCTGAAGAATGCCTTTATAGTTGACTCTACTGCCATAGCTACCGCGAATGCCTTGTTATTGGAAGACTTGGCTTTTGATGCCAACATTACAACATCGTGTACAACGAAACAAGTGCCACCGCCAACATCACCATTAAGTGCCGAAACCAGTGACTTAAATTGGTTAAAATTTTGTGATGAAACAGCACAATTGGAATACGAAGATGAAATGCTCTGTTCAAGTCCAAATAGTACGACCTCGACAAATGATTTTGTTGGTGTGGGTGTTATGAGTATGAATGGTAGTAGTAGTAGAGTTAGTTGTAGTACTAATAATGCTACTGCTAACAGCCAAAACCATACAACCTCTGCTCAAGACCATGAGTTACTCAATGAAAATGAGCAACTCTTATTTGAAGGTATCCCAAACTTACTTAAATATATATATCTATTTATCTGTTTTAATAAAGTATTTTCGGATTTATATAATGATTAGTATAATAGACCTAAGGTGTAGTTGGGTCTTAATTATTTTAGTATTGTATCTATATATTTATCTATTTTAATAAAATATTTTCGAATTTATATATTGATTAGTACATATAATATTACCAATTAACAATATTATGGACCTTAGGTCTAGTTGGGTCTTAATTATTTTAGTATTATTGTTTATATATTAATACAATTTTATTAATTCCTAGTTTTTTATTATTCATTCCAATTACATACTTTTAAAAAAACAATTCTCTTAACCTCACTGAACTGTGAGTCCTAGCGGTATTCGCACTATATATCTTTTATATTTTTTAATGCACCAATTGGTCAATGTTAAATAATAAACAGCTTTTTAAATTAGTTTTAAAAAAATATATCTTTTTTGCATCGATATTTCATATATAGTCTATAGTCTTATTCAGTACTGTTAGTTCTACCGATATTTGCTCAATATAGCTTTCGCTAAAATATTACTATATATCTTTTTGAATGAACTAAGTGGGTCAATGTTTAATAATAAGCAAGTTTCTAAATTATTAATAAAAAATATATCTTATTTGATCCAATATTTCGATTACAGTTTATAGTCATCTTCTGGACCCTTAATATTAGAATAAATACTAAAAATTCTAAACTGTTAATCCTACCGGTGTCCACTGAATATAGATTTCGCTAAAATATTAATTTGTATATTTTTGAATAGACTAATTGGTATTATCGACTATAGTCTATAGTTATCTTCAGGGTACTCAATATTAAAATAATAATAAAAATATTAGTCACAAAACTAATAATGGAAATATTTCAAATTAATTATTCTCTTATAGCAAGAATCTATTTCAAATAGAAAAGGGAGAGGGTAATGGTACGGAAATGTTCAGACTTAAAAATTTTGATTTTTAATCAAGTCAATTCTTGAACAGACCATACAGCTTATTCGAATACTACCAAATAAATATAAAATAATGTTTTCTACAAACAATAATGTTGAGGTTTGAAAAAACAATAATTAAGGCTCTGGTTTATACGTTCTAATTAATATAGTAAAGAAAAGAAATTGTCAAAACTCTATGACAATTTTTCTCGAAGCTATACTTCTCAAGAATGATAAATAATATATATTAAATATATATATGAAATATATTAAATAAATAAATGAAATATATTAAATATATATGTGCAATATATTAAATATATATATGAAATATATTAAATATATATATGAAATATATTAAATATATATATGAAATATATTAAATATATATATGAAATATATTAAATATATATATGAAATATATTAAATATATATATGAAATATATTAAATATATATATGAAATATATCAAATATATATATGAAATATTTAAATATATATGTGAAATATATTAAATATATATATGAAATATATTAAATATTTATTAAAGATAATATATTAAATACAATAATATAAATTTACCTCGAAAAATATATAAAATTTTTATTTTTGTACATATTTTCTTATCCAAAATATATGGAGAAGTTTATGGATTGAATAGTAGCAATAATCACATAATTTACAAGCCTGTTTTAGTTTCACTGATTATATTACTCTGTAAATATTAATTTAATCAAATTTATTTATGTGCAATATTTCAGTATTTTAACATCGATTTCTTTATAAGCAATATTCTATTCAATTTTATCTTTATATTGTCTATTCAATCATCTTTATTTTTGGACTTCTACGTAAACTCCAGCGCTATATTTCCCCATTATTAAATTTTCTGTTCTTTGAAATGTATTATTTTTAACTATTGTTATCTTAATTATATTATATCAATATATTTGTATTATCTATAATGTGAGGTATTATATAGATATTACATCATATCGATATATAACATCTAAGTTTTATTTGATCTTTATTAAATGAAAGATGTTTAGGGTGTTTACGGGGTAATACTCATTAAATTATGTGGTTATAAAATTAAAAATAACCTCTGTGAACAGGTTTTTATGTAGATTATCTGTTTATTTTTACACAATCAGCTGTTCTTTGTTTTTGTCGTCAGTTAAGAGAAACTCTACATTATCTCTTTTACGTTTTCGGATAACGTTAGATACTTAAAATGGAATGTAAATAAGTTATATGTATATATATTTTATTTCGCGTAGAACATTTTTAGTTGCTTTTGCTAATATTTTTTGTGATACCATTTGCTTAAATTTTATATTATTTTTCAACTCTACAAATAACCACATAATTTGTAAACAAAGGTAGTAGGGGTCGCGCAAATTTGGTTATTTTTATTCAGTGCATTTTATTGTTATTAACATAACAACATTACCTGTGAAAACCCCTAATTATATTTATCATTGTCTTAAAGTTAAATTGATAGCTATTATAATGTATTGAAATTTTCTATTGATAGCTATTGAAATAGAGTCCTACATAAAACAGCGCATTATTATTACGTTGGTTGCTCTTTTCTACTCAATACTGTTTTCTTTAATTTCATTTTGTATCCTATGTTATTCTAATATATTCTCTTTTAATCAATTTTTATTATATCCTATTCTATTATTTACTATTCTTTAATATATTATATTCTCTTATAATCAATAATATTCTAATATATAATATTCTGTGATATACTATTCTATTTTATACTATTCCATTATATATTGTGACTGCCCAGCCTTGATCTGGGCCAGGAGGAGGTCACTGGGTCGAGAACTACTCTCCCCTTCTGACATTAGGAGATCCTCAACGGCTGACATTCTTGCCTTCATGCGAAAGGTGGAATGTCTTCTGTTCGGTTAGGATCTGTTGCAGCACAAAAGATCAATCATGGTCGCAGTACTCCACTCCATTAGGAGCTAGACCCCTGTTCATTCCTATTCATATTATATACTGTTTTCTTATATACTATTTTATAATATAATTTTATCATATACTAATCTTTTAGATAATATTCTATTATCTACTATTCTGTCGCATACTATTCTATCCTATTTTACTCTATTATTTATACGTGATTGTGTGATGAGTCGCTGATAACTACACTTAATTAGTTTTAAAATATTTTTGTAGGTTTCTTTTATAATCTAGTAATATTTAAAATATTTAGATTATTTATTCGATATGAGTTCTTCAGCTGTTTAACACGTATTAATTTTGGCAAATTTAAGCACAACTTTTTAGGAAAAAAAAATCTTTTCGGTGTTATCCTTGAATTGCGCTTTATTTTCTTTCTTGTGCGAAGATCCTTCACTAAGTGTATTTGAAAGGAATTTTTTGTAATATATAGGACTGGAATTCTTATATTAAATAAAAAAATCGCTCATCTATCACTGATTAGCAAAATGCATTACTAAAGGATATCAATAAGGTCCTTTGGAATTGCCTGCACAAAAATTTTGCAATATTTTATGTATACTTCCGGGACGGACAGACATGATTTCATGACTGTTATTCAGCAACTGTTTAAGTTATCTGTTTTTTTATCTTTTAACGTAGGTGTATTGTAAATATAATAAAAATTATAATTTACTTTAAATCACGTTGACTTATAGAAAATTGTGAGTTGCATACAAATTAAATGAATTAATAAATAAAAATAAAATAAAATGAAATTATTTTTAAAAAAAATCTGTTGCAAATTGAAGTTCCTCATTGAAGATATCAATTTGTATTGAGCAATCTATTAAACTTTTAAATTTATCTTATCTATAAAAAATACTAACTCTATCTCGTCAGTCAGTTTAAAGAAATTATTTATTGATTGCTTAACTCCATTATTTTTGTTTTTGTTATATTTAAAATGTTCGATAATTTTCTAATCCAAGTCCAAGTGAAATGCATTATTGTTGACACACGTACACCACTTGTACGCTTTTCTTTCCCCTCTTATCATATTGTCTATATATTTTAATAATTTTTTGCAATCTTTGATGACTAATTCCTGATTAAGTTGAATTATTGTTAAGGCTTTTTTATCATTAAAAATATGGTACATTTTTATTTACATATATATACATATACATTATATCGTTTATGAAACAATAAAGAAACTTGTTTAACGTCTCAGCAATTGATCTAATGAATTTATTTAGTAATTAAAATTATTTAATATGCAATCCACTAAAAACTCGCTGTCTTACAGCATATGTTAGCTGTAAAATAGAAACATATCTGAAGTGGACGGGCATGTGCCAAAGTCATGCATAATTAATGATCAAGTGGTGCTTACAACTCACAATGTAGCGAACTAAGGTGACTTCACCTGGAACAGTAAAATGTAACAATATACACTCAAACTTCCATAACTCGAAGTACCATTTTGCTTTCTAAACTCTATTGCACACTATTTAGTTCGATATATAAAAAAATTGAGTTATAGTAGTTTGACTGTATAAGCAATGGAGCAAATATTTTTATTCTATGCAGTAATTTAAAATAATTGAGAACTATTAATATTAATAATATAGAGTAGTGTAGTGTTAAATATCAGCTTAACCGAACAGCACAATATTTGTCTGATCTGGGTCTCGGGACATCTAATATAGAACGAAACGAAAGAGCCAATAAACTGACGAGGATAAGATCAGCCATGCAAGAATCTTTTGTAGAAACTGTGCTTGCACCATTTAATGTGATTGGATTTGTAATCACTGCTAATTTGTAAAATCTTCATATAGCAATTTATGGGTGGGAAAAGTCTTGCTACATGTGAGACTAATAGGACACTAAAATCTAAATATAATCTCCAAAAAACAATAACGCTGATAAACAGGAATCTTTCTATATTGACAGCGGTACTAATTGACATCGGACCTATTAGAAAGTTAGCTGTCGGAGGTAGCAGCTACCCCAAGTAAATTGCTCTTAAGTAATATTTGGAGGTAATAAAAATTACCATAAACGAACTTTAAAAATGTCTAAACCGTATGGACTCAAACTAACTATGCTTGTCTACACAAATAACCAGCTAATCACGATATTGCGGCAACGAATCGACGGGAAAGTTAAACTGGAAAGTACTTTCCACTACCTTATGTTGACTTTTTATTAAACGAGACAATTACTAGTAGCTATAGGTAATAGTATATTTTATAACCTTGAATAAGACTATAATGGTGTTGAACAAGAGCAGTAAATAATAGTTCTTAACATACCAGGTCTGTTAAGTGCTTCCAAAGATTTCTTCAATAAATATAACAAAAATGGTCGTAAATTTGTAAATGCGAATACTTTTACCTACATTGCAACATTTACGTGTGATCTTCTAAGAAAAAAACTTAAAATTAATTATATTTATAGATAAATATATACAAGCAAAATATGTAAAATAATACAAGTTGCTAATCAGATATTTCTATTATTATTTATTCTGTTCTCTTATATTTGCCCTTAAGTTTACACTGTTATTATTAGTATCAATTAGCGTTGACTTGCTAATTTATATTCTAATTAAATGCAAGAGGTACAATGTTAAATATATAGGTAAAAAAATATTTTCCCTGTCTGATTTTAATAATAACTAACTAATAACATTAAATTTATTTTACATATTCATTTTATGTATAAAATATATTTGTCTTTACATATATGTATAATATATATTTATTTTTAATAATATGTTTTTATCTCTTACAGTTTTATGTGGTAATCGTGTTAGCCAGATGACTCGTGCATATGACGACATTGAAGCTGTGACGCGTCTTCTCGAAGAGAAAGAAAAGGACTTGGAACTGACAGTTCAAATCGGGAAGGAACTATTGACGCAAAATAATACACTTGAGAATCGTATTACCGAACTGGAAGCTGACTTAAAATCATCCAACGATGATCGAGCTCAACTAATACACGACCTGCATAGCAAAAACGAATTGATAGCAGTACTTACGAATCATGTGGATGATGGCAGTGATGTTGGTAAGCTAATATATATTTTTAATTAAATTTTTAAATATTTTACTTAATTAAAATTCTTAAATTTTTTATAGATACCCCAACTTTTTCCAAATCGATTACAGTCGATCTGCTACACAAGAAAATTTCCTCATTGCAGGATGAGAACAAAACGTTGAGAGTAGAAGTGACACAATTAAATAATCAAACGGATGCTGTCGAAGCTCACGAACGTAAACTAATGGAGGAAATTTCTTCACAATTAAACGATGCTAATAGCCAATTTGATAATCTCAATTTGGAGCTTGAACGGCAACGTGAGGAAAATCGTTTGCAACATGAACAAATAGTTAGTTTGACAGCGCGTCTAGCGGAAGCTGAAATGCGTTTACATCAATTGACGCACGATAATGATGAACACGTTACACTTTTGAATATCACAAAAGAAAATCAAAATTCACTAGCTTTGGAATTGGTTGAATTTAAACAACGTTATCAGGAAGTGTTAGCTTTACTACAAGAAACACAAGAGCAATTACGCAAGCAACGTAAAAAGGCTATGCCTGTGGTGCGCAGTTCATTTTTATCAGTTGGTTCTGGTGTGCTACAATCTGAATCATTACAATCGGAACTCATGGAATCATCATTATTCTCAGAAAACAGTCTTGACTCAGGCATATCGGGCGATAGTCACCGTATAAATGATCGCATTGGTCGTCTAATGTCACAAACGCCTGGCGTATATGGTGGCGGAGCTGGTGTTGGTTATGGTGGTGGTATTAACAGTTCTGTGCCTCCATACAAACGTGTTTTCGAAACAGTGCGCTGTGCAACAAAGTCTGGTTGCTTTTCAGATGGTGAGAATATGAATATATCACAAATTGGTGCTATGTCTATGAGCAGTTCGTCAGGCCCGCGTATGTCAGCAGCAGCATATGGCTCACATCCAGCAGGTTCGTTTTATCGTAATTCATTATACGGTAGCAGTTCTGGTTTGGTGAAGACGCTATCATGTGAAAGCTTAGTTTCGCAATCTGATGATGATTATCCTGCCTGTGCACCGGGAATACCTGGCGTGCCAGGTGCAAAAGATTTAGAAGCAGCATTAAAACGACTGACACCTGGCGAGGTTTTGGCAAGACGCGCAATGTTATCCTATGCACCAGCAGGCACATATAATTATGATGAGCAACCAGCTACTGGATTACCGCTTGGTATACGTACGCCAGATAGCATTATGTCAACGGGCTCATCAGGTGTTTCATCAACGAACATGTCAGGCTCTATGCAACAGTGGCGTCTTCCAGAAAAACTGCAAATTGTTAAACCAATTGAAGGTTCACAAACACTACATCATTGGAGTCGTCTTGCCACACCAACATTGAGTGGTCTGCTTGAAGAACGACCGGGAGTTACCATACGTGGTGGTCGCGGACTTGATGATTTAGGTATGCAAATCTACACGTTGTCTGATGTAGAAGAAGATGTTAGTGATGATTTGCCTGGTAAACAATTTGAAGCAACAGGCAGTACATTCACATATACAACAAGTGTAGTTATGCATCCTGACGATGGGCTTGTGACTGATTTATCATTTTTGTCACAATCGCAAATGTCATCGCGTATGGCCTCCACTTCAACTTCACGACAGCCAAGGTAACACAGACATTAATATTTTATTATTGTTATTTACATTTATATGGTTCTATAAATTTCAGTTGCCCACCTACACCAAGATCTGGTTTATCACGTAAAAATTCCTGCTCTACATTCTCAGTTAATTTGGGTTTGGCATCAATGTTAAATGAACGTGGTATTAAAGCTGTAACTCCTAGTGCACTAAATACACCCGCTGGTCCTAACTTTACACCAACTGTAACGCCTTGTAATAGTCCCGGTAAGTTTTTATATATTATATACGGTTAAAATTCATTTTTTGTACTGTGAATAATGAAGTGGAAAAGAACCCTTCTATAAACATTTACAATATGTGATTATCATATATTTTAATTTAAAACAAGATTTTAAGATTAACCTCATTGCTATTTTTTTCGAAATTATATATGTAATTGCTATATAAATCGGATCTGAATTTTGTTTATTAAACAAATTGTCGAACTCCCAGATTTGATTAAGGTCCTTAACGCAACGAAATTGCATGGATTCCTATTATATCTTTTAGTATAACTTTACTTTTTTCTAATTGTGTTGAAAATATTGCTAATTCAGTGCTATAATTATTAACATATTTCACTATAACTAATCTTATACTGATAATGAAATAATGAATTCTAGTTTAAGTTTACTAGAAATATGTTTCTAGTTTACTAACCCAGCTTTATATTAAGCCTACGATACACATATTCTGTTGTGAAGTGTACAAGTATTTTGGATTCCAGTTGCTTTAAATGAAAAATTTTCTTAAGTTACCACTAAAAGTAATCAATAAATCATATAAATTTTTACTTAATTTTGTATGTTTTATTTTAAATCTAGAGTAAATCTAGATTTAATCTAGATCCAATCGTAAACGCCATACATTTTATTGAAATACAGGTTGAAGTAATAAAAAATTTTTTAATATCTATATTATAAATACTAAAATTAAATAAACTTAACTTATTTTTTTCTTTAATTGTATTTAACTTTTTTCAGAGGGTTCACCAACACGATCTATGTCACCTGAACCACTTTTTAGTCTCTTGTCAACTGGTGCTGATCTTATTAAAAAGAAGCTTGCTTTTCCGGATTCTGATAGACCAAATCGAAATCAACAAAAACAGCAAAAGATAATGTTATCACGTCTGGAAAGGCGTGCCCTGCGCTCATTGAGATTAGTGGAAAAAGTGGAAAGTCTTGGCTTAGAAAATATCATTGCAACACAACCTAGCGCTATGTCACAATTAGCGAGCGGTATAGCAAATCGTAGCACTAGTCCAATGGGACAATATGGTAGCCTGAAACACATGCACACTAGCGCCAATGGCGTGACAAACGATTTACATTTTGATCGTGGTCACATTAAGAATGTACTACACAAAGGACTTACTGCACCCCTCTCAGATGCATCCAGCAGTTCCAGTGCATACAATAGCGACACCGATGATTATGCTTTCGGTGAAAGTAATAAATATGCAGCAGCGGCAAAAAGTGATAAACAACAAGCCAAAGAAAAAAATAATAAATCCGCACAAAAAGCAGCAGCAGCAACAGCAACAGCAGCAAGCACAAGTCAAATACCACAACAACAACTACAACAGCAGCAACAACAACAACAGCAGACACAACAGTCACAACCAACCTCTGCAACTGAGATTAGAGTTAAACAGATGCAACGACAGAAGTCACGTCGTAATATGAAAAATGGTATGGTACAAAGACCAGATTTGGGTACTATCGGTGGACGTGTGCGCACAGATTTGGGTCAAGTGTCACCGCCGCTTAAAAATGAAAAAAATGCACAAAAAACCAGCTCAGGAGCAATATCTAAAGGTAAACATGGCAGTGGTGTGGTACAGTCTTGTGAAGAGAATAAAACCACAACGACGCAAGTAAATGGCAGTGGTCCCAAAGAAACACAGAGTATCACACAATCTTTTGTGGGTACAGTAAGTTCCTTGCTGTTTGGACGTAAAGGAGGTTGGCTGTAAATACTAGAATTTTATGTGGTAATTTTACTAATAATTATTGTTTTTATTTAAGTAGTACTGAAAAAATTAAAAAATCAAGTAAAACATAGAACGAACTAAGCAAAAGATCAGACACTGAACAAGGTAGGATTAATGAATGAAGGTCCTTAGAGACGCAAAACAAACCAAATAAGCAAAGCAAAACAAATGGTGCACTTATTAAAGTTAGCATTTTTGAATAGTGATTGAAGTTGACAAAATATTTTTAATTATTCGATACAATAATACTTGGATGCGTGCGCAGTGGGTATGAAAAGTAAAAGTCGCGGCGACATGCTGTGATCCACCTATCAATTTCATTGTCAGCAGTTTATGTATGACGCTTTTCACAGATACCACCTGTGCACAACCACAACATCCTTGACGCGATGGTTTTAATTTATTTTTTATTTTTATTTTATTTTTTATGAATAATTAACTTCAGGATATATTTTGTTAAACACTTTTATTTAACACTAGCCAATAAATGTAAATATATTATATTTTCGCTTTGTGTGGTTTTCAAATCTAAACAGATTCTTTTTTTTTTTTGAATAGTTTTTAGTAATATTTTAATGCTTAGATGACTTCTGTTTTTACATACATATAAATATATATGTATTATATATTTGCAATGTATATATTTTAGCAAGGATTAGCAAATGTTAAAGATGAAATAAATAAATAAAAAAAAATTAAAAAGTAAAAAATTAGACAAAACTATATAAACTGATCAAGGTTGGTGCTCCTTAATTAAAGTAAAGTAAAGTAAATTAAAAAAAAAAACAAATTTATATAAAAAACTAACTTATAAAAAAGGCTTTCGATTTATATGCCATAACCGCGAAAATCGAATGCCACAATCTAGAACGCTTTCTAGTCTAAATGAACTTCGACATTACATATGTACACTATTATTTATATAACTATATACATATATATTGTTTTTTGATTATTTTTATTTTAAATAACCTTAAGATTATTTTACTTTTTATTATATTCACCATAATTTGAAGCTACAAACGTATATATTTATATATATTTTTATTAGGATATTAAGTATAACATTCGGAATTATGACAAATTATAATTTATAAATACATTTTTTTCAACTTAAAAAATGAGATTAAGAAACATTAAAACAAATGTCACTTCAGTATAATCGTAGACAAAAAAGTTTTAAATGTGGCAAATAAAAAAAAATAAACTGGATTTAATGGTTAGTTGTTGATTTTAAAATCGTTGTGATGAAATAATTTGAAGATATGGTCTAAAGAGCGAGCGAGTAGTAAATATAATCATATGTGACCCATAGAGCGGTTGAGATGTAATACATTTTCTAAATCCATTGCTTTAAATTTATAGTAAATCTATAGTATCATATTTGGATAGTGCTGTAGATTTTCCGTAGTACCAAGATTATCATAGAAGCTTCAATGCAATATATTGAGCTGAAAAGTACATCATTCTCTAGAACTGATATTTAAAATATTTGGTTCAAATAATAATAAAAGTAACATTATTGAAAAATCGAAATAAAAACAATATAATTTAGTTTTGTTTTATATGTTTAATTGATACGTAGCAGATTTCTTATTTGAATTATCCAACCTAATAAAGAACTCAAAATAAACTTTGAAACGTCGGCAATTCAAATCTGTTCAAATAAATGTATTGAAAAAACAACAAATTTAGGTTTTAATTTCAAATTAAAAATTATTTTTGTCCACCTAGGAGTAATAGTGAAGAAATTTTCACAGCCATAATAATTTGTTAAAATTTTTAGTCAAGTGAATTCTTGGCCTGTCCATGTCCAAATTCTGTCTATGCAGGTATAAATTTTTTATTCCTAAAAACTCTAGTAACACTACATTTTTCGTTAGTTTACCTACAGGAGTGTTTGAAGCTCTAAGCTTGACCTAGGAAGACACATCCATATTTGATTGTCTGTAATATACTTTCATATCATAGTAATATTTAAGTTACGACTTGAAATGAAAATATTTGGTATATATAGGGCATCCTCGTTTTGAAATCCAACAATAAAAAAAAAGAGAAAAAATATAATGTTGCAAATCAAATGTCCGTGTACACTATTCAGACTTTAGACCAAGATTAGAATTGATTGCACAAATTTTTTCATTTTGTTTATAGTAACAACTATCTCCAATTAAAATAAACAAATATTTAAACTCCAACAATACACAAAACAACATCATTAGTATTGCAAATTTCTTATTTCTGTCTGTTCACATTTTTTCTAAATTTGATGAATGATTGACCAAATAATACCTAAGTGATTATTTATTCAACTTAAATGAATATACACACAACGCAATAAAAATTAGAGAATAAAATTGAATATCATGACTTATCAGCTCAAATATATATTGAAAAGTATCGAAAACTAATAATAAATCGAAACGCGAGATTAACAATTGGCGAATTAATGTCTCCTGAGTGTTGAAAATTTTTGTAGAAACATTTTTTAATGGTCAAACTAATGCTAATGTTTAAGAATTCAAACATACAAATCGAACATTTAAAATAATTTAATATGCTAGAATTGTTCGAAAATATGTTCGATCTGCTTCATATTACATTGGTATTCCAATGTTTTTAAGCGGTTTGATCACAAACATATTCGAACATCACTAAGGCTCGAACATTCGAACAACAAAATGCTCTAAGATTCGAACATCAAAATGCTCGAAGTTTCGAACGTAAAAATGTACGAAGTTTCGAACGTATAAATGTACGAAATATCGAACGTAAAAATGTACGAAGTTTCGAACGTAAAAATGTTCGAAGTTTCGAACATCAAAAATTTCGAAATTTCGAACAATGCAAATAGACAGTGTACTTCAAGCACTTTGTTCAAACATTAGTATCCATCTGTGCAGCTTTTAGACATAATTCTATATTTAAACACAATGTTGAATTTATTGTCACTCATTGGTGCTACTTTTATTAAACAATAATAATAACTCACCACACTACAATAACAAACATGTGTAGTTTGATTGGTTGCAGTTATAACCGAGTAGGGCCGAAGAGGAGAACGGACTTTAAATTGGTGCTGATAAAATGGCAGTTAAACGTTTGTAGCTTCATTTTTAAGTTTTACTGATTAATTTTAAATTTTTTTTATTTTATTTTCTTAAATTCAAAGAAAAACTATTTATTTTAGTTATTAAGCGAAATTATTAAAATATTTTGATTTTGTATTAAATTCATACATAATTTGTTAATACTTTTTTTTTAATGACAAAAAAACAATATTATGTCAATATATTATATTATTTTTAAAAACTTAATTCTGCAGTTGGCCTAAGCTGTGTTTGCTATCATCGCAACTACCTACTTTAGTGCATAAATACTTACCTAAAATTATAAAATATTTTAAATAAAAATATATACATTATATATATATATAAATTTGAATTTATTCGCAAAATATCTTAGTAGATAGCAAAACGTTGGTCTGATAAAAGCTAAGAATTGCCAGTGTAAAGAAATTAATTAATTATTTAAAAATAAATAAAAACAAAAACAAAGTATGTTAAAGATTTATCAGAGAGAACATTTATTTTTCATATAATATATCAGTCAAGAAGTGGTTAAATTTAAGAAAGCAACAACTACAAAGAAGGAATGAACAAACAAAACATTTAAGTTATAAACTTTTCAATTTATATAACATATATACAATTTAATAAATTCTAAAAGAAAACAAATAGAATAAAACTAAATTTATATATAATAAAATACATATATTGAAAATGCTTAGTTGGACACACAAAGACACAATATATTCAGTAAAAAAAGAACTAAATTTATAATGTAGTTGGAGACTTGTAAAAAAGCAAATTATTATGTATTAAAATTAAAATAAATCAATTATAAAAATAAATAAACAAATTTAATAATTTATGTTATATTTTTTTAGTTATTATTTAATTTATATGCAATAAATATTATCGTTGAAAAAATATGCTAAAATAATTCGTTGTTTTTATTAAACCCCCAGTCACGCTTTACTGTGGCTCAAATTGATATTAATTATCTTCTTCTTCTTGGTGTCCGTTTCTCCTAGTGGGACATAGAGTCGCAGATATTAATTATAAGGAAAATAAAAAAAAAGAACTCTAGTGAGCATAAATTTATCGAAAAATAAACATATCCTTGTGTTAGCAAACTTGCAGTTCTAATAAGTGGATTATGCAGGAGTTGCTAAGATGAGGAGAAGGTAGAATCCATCAACCGCTTTCTACGTCTCTGTCCAGAACTGCAGGCAAGGTGGCTTAAATATCGTGGGGATTGCTTTTTCACTGGCTTGGAAGAGATAATGAAAGCAATCTTATCGGACCTCCTCAACTTCATCTGAAAAACAGATGATTTAACAAGGATAGAAAATTACAAAGGTTAGCAACTTGTCTCTCCAGGCAAAATTTTTCTAAAGGCATCGCAATGGGCAATATATGCCTCCGAGTAGAAGTGCTGATAATAACTGTCAGCATGCACCTTCTCAATCTAAACTAATACCCTTTTGTTCTGCTATTAAATCTCAAATCAAAGGAAAGAAAGTAAAAATATTCTGGTTTATATTATGAATAGACTATATTTTTTATTTGTTGACATATAAGGTGTTCATCGAGAGTGGATAATACAACATATAACACCTCATAAGAGAAGCATTTATTTTCTAACATACTTTTCCACTTGCTATACAAAAATAGTCATTGTGTTTTATTGATATTTATATCGAACGCAAAGCGGACTGTATTAGAAATTGAACTCGTATGCCATATCTGTCGGAAATAATGGTACTCTTGAAAGTGGGCGAGAATTTTTTTGTTTCTGATCAGATTAGTTATTTTGTTTTCTAGTACATTAGTGGAAAGGAAAAAAAATTGGAAAATTTTTGGAAATAAATTGAAATTAAAGCTGCGGCACGCTTTGAAATGGAGAAACTTAGGTATAGATTCCACCTTGCAGCAGCAATATAGAAAATGTATATCGATATAGATAGATATAATCTGGAAACGGGAAAAGTAAAAATAAGGTAATAAGATAATGTTATATTCAGTTTTATTAATTTATGTATTGTAATACATTTATTTGAGGTAATTGTTTAGATAAGAAACATGCCACAGGCTACACGGATATTAGTGCCACAGCAAAAGCCGTGCTTTGGACAGCTAGAAGATTATTTATAAATATTTAAACTATTGCATAACTTTGGCATATTAATATTTAAATGTAATATAATCGCTGTTCCAAATGCAGTAAGTGCGATTCTAGTCCAGGAAACTCGAATAAACTAAAAAATTAGAATGTTCATTAATGTTCATATTCACCACGAGATGAATAGATTTGTAATTCACTCTTTCAACTGGAATGCTGTTTAGAATGATGGCGCTCGGTCATATCGTATCAACTAAACGTGTTGTTGATAACGTGGATGCTTTCGAACCAACTCTTCGTTGGAATTAACGATTTAACCTGAGGTATAACTATTTTCAAAGCATCTCTCATTAGTAAAGTACTTATTCAGTTTCGTTAATCAAATGCGATAACTGCTTTCAGTTTGACCACTCTATCGAAGACATAGTTTCAATGTAGCTGTTCTTTTTCTATTTGCTGAACAAAAAAAAAAAGAAAGGAGACGTATATTTTAACAGACACACATCCCATTCCACCGGTAATAAAAGCGTTTGATAAAGAAACAGTACTACGGCTTATACAGAGGTAACAGTTATCAACTTTATTAAAAATCTCTAGCCGTAAAAAACTATACTGACAATTATCAGTGTCATTGTCTCTGCTATTACCGGCAGTAGGAATGACCTATATAAGAGATAAGTCCCCATCGTAGTTGACTACAGAATTGACAGTACACCTATTTCCAATGGTTATTCTTAGCCTGATCTGCGTCATGTATTGTTATTATAATTATTAGCGGTACTAAGCGTAATATTCCATTCTTGACAACTTCAAAAGTATAAACGCCAGCTCATTGTTCAAGCGATTAGATATCTACTATTGCTGTTCGTATTCGGAGAATTCAATTGATTGAATAGTAAACGAAGTCTCCGGAGTGAAAAAAAAAATTGGATATTTTCTAAACCAGAGTCTTCGAATATCTGGATTTACGATTATTATTTGCAGTGAATTTATTCGGAGAATTCGTGAGCAAATGATAAAAGTAAGCCACAAAATGCAATTGAACGTGCATCACACAAATAACCACAAATTTTTTTAGGGATGATGAAAATTATATATGTGTAATGTTTTTTATTTATTTTATTTTATTACATATGACTAAATAAAAAATATACATTTCAAATAACTTATATTAAAGAAATTATATTAATGAACATTTGACGTCTCGATAAAGCTAATTATACTTACTTTAACAATAGTTTAATATCTCGCCGTACACATACGATCACTGCGTTACCAACGTTTCCAAGGAAGGGATTTCTTATATCCGTCAGAAAGTAAGAGACAATAGTCCACAAGGAACTATTGTAGGCTTATCCATTATAAGCAATTTAAAGACTGTGCCGATAAGGACTACTTAGAGAATACTCGGTTAAAAACAATTTAAGATCAGTTTGTTAAGGAATAATTCAATTACTATCATCACGAGAACCTAGCCGATAAATGAAAGAATAATATTTCTTCAGTGTATGCGATTATTTTATCTTGTGTCACTACTCTTCAATTATATACCTTAATTGTTTTGTTATTTTGACTGGTAAGTGATATACAAAAATATATTTATAAAATAATTATAGTTGTACCTTTTTCTCAAAATGATTATTGTAACAATATAAATATATATTCTAAAATTATGTAAAAGGGCATGAATATTTTACAAACATATAAATTAGTGTCCTTTAAATTTTCTACAGAATAGAATAGTGTTAAAAAATACGATTTTTAAAGTGTATACATATACCCATAAATTTTAACATTTGCTATGTGCTTATGCAAAAAAACTTAACCATTAGAAGTGATAAATTGAATTACCGACCTCTGATCTAAACTCATGCAGAAGTGACCAATTATTTCCTCCTCGAAAATGAGTCTGTAAAAGTAACAACTCAGTATTATATAAAAATTACCAATCTGGCAATCGTCTGCTAAGGACTGGTCATTAAGTCCTTTCATTAAGCTAATGAACGTTGGCTCTAAGCTCCAAATTTGGCAGGGCACGAGTTCAATCCTTGGTACTTGCAGCCTCAAATAAATATTCTTCAAAAATTATTTACGAATAATTATATACAACAAATAATTCCAAGACCACTGATAATGGGTATGGTATTTGGCAATACTCGAAACAGCTGTATGGTCAGTCAAAAAATTAATTAATAAATAAACAATAAAATTTTATTGGTATAATTTACTACTCTTCTCTCTATTGAAAACAATATTTTATATAAAGAATTTAGTTTCTCTCGTCAAAACGGATGTTAAAAATCAATTTAAGTTACTTTCATATGAAAAAATATATCAGCTTGGTCCTTGTTGACTAAGGACTAGTTGTTGATACTTATTCGACTTTCTACACAAGCCGTCATTCTTTTTCTTTTAAAGTTGTAAAAAAAACAGCATTAAGTCTGGTTGAAATAAATTGGCATCACTTTTAAAATATGTTAAATGCTTGAATCTGAAATATTGATTTAGTTGTGTAGTGTATATGAAATATAAAACTTGTAAACAATAAAAATTAATTAATTTAAATAAAATAAAACAAAATAAATATAAGAAGGACAATGATCAACATTTTTATTTTATATATTTAAATTAATTTATTTATTAATGTAATTAAATTTATTAGTAAATGAAATGCTCAATGATTTTAACGTAAGACTGGAATTTTGCTACATACGAGTATATTTGCAGTGAACTCTCACAATAGACTACTTTTAAGACTTAAAATTTTTTGCGAATAAAACCTAACTCTGATGATTTTAAGAGCATTTTTGTTGCTTCACATATATTCACATGTATTCTTTCGTAAGTTGCGAGTATTTTTTTGCTACTCTGAAAGAAAAAAATTATGGCAGTAGTAACCATTGTTCCACGCACTTGGCTAGTATACCAGACTAACATTTTTTACACTTTTTGTGAAACTCTTAATACTTAAAGTATTCCAATGTTGACAACAACATTGACCCCCCTATGGCCTAGGTTGGACAAAAATAAAAGGAAAAAGCCAAATCTACAGTTCGTGCGCTTACTGGAGTACTAACGGGGCACTGTGCCATTGCGCCTATGCTCCAACGGTGGCGAGTTCCAATAGGTGCATTATGCAGGAGTTGCTAAGGTAAAGAGGATGTAGCGTCTATCAAGCACTTCCTGTGTCTCTGTCCAGAACTGCAGACAAGACTTTTTCATTGGCTTGGGGATCGCTTTTTCACTGGCTTGGAAAAGATAACGAATGCAAACTTATCGGATCTTCTCAACTTCATCTGTAAAACCAAATAATTTAACAAGAATAGAAAATAACAAAAGTTAGCAACTTGCCTCTTCCGGCAAAAATTTTCTAAGGGCATCACAATGGGCAATATATGCCTCCGAGTGAAAGTGCTGACAACTGTCAAAACACGCCTTCCGAACCTAACCTAACTTAATAACAGACAATATATCTTCAATATTAAAATTAGTTTAGAAGTGAAATTAAAAAGACAAATATTTAGAAATTATGTGTATACTTTATTTTGCAATAATCTTGGATTAGGGATATGAAGTTGTACAAAATGATTAAAATATGTAAATGTTAAAAATGTATTTTATCTCTCTTTTGTTCTTTCCTCCTTCTTTGCTTTCTTACTTCCTCTTGCTCATTTTTAATCTTTATTTTGTTTTTATTTAATATATTATAATAATTATATTTATCAGTAGGATTATTCGCATGTAACTGGAAGATCCTGTGTTGTATTTTCTGCCGCAGCGTTCTCCTTCAACTCCTTGACGTTAGCAACTTCCTAAACAGAATGAAATTTGTGGAAGAAAAAACGAGAAAAAATTGCACAAGGCAAAAAAAAAAAAGAGAATACATTAGTAAAATGTTAAAGTTTTTAATTATTTAATAATTATAATATAAATAAATTCAATAAATAAATATAAATAATATTTCAAATATATATATTGTTTGATGAATAAACGTATACATTAAAGTAAGAATAATAACAAAAAAGCATTTTATAATCATTTGAGTAAAAAAAGTAATTCTTTCTGCAAAAACAATAATAAAAAAAAATTGCCATGTAAAAAAGAGACAACAAATATATAAAAAAAAATTACAACAAGTACATACAAATAAAATAACTTTAAAAAAAAAAGAAAAAGCATTAAATAAAGCGAAAATATGAAGGCATAATAAAGAAATATTTAGTACGAATATAATACCCCAAAGAGAGTTCATCAAAAAAGAGTTATGGAAAGGAGATGGAAGTTGTGTATACAGAAAACGGAAACGTTAAGGAAGGATAGAGGTAGTAGTACTCTAAAAATGGATCAGAGAAGAAGTTGTAGTGGTGAATGCACTGGATTAGTGGTTGGGTGTAAAGATGAGGCGAGAGGTACAAGGAGTTGCAGTTAGCGTTAAAATTATTGCAGGTATGTTATGTTTTTTTTCTGCACTTCCTGGTTATTGAATGTTGCACAGAGACAAAGACATAACGAGCTGTTTAACATATCTGTTTTTAATTTTTTTAAAATATTTTTATATTTGGTGTCCATTTTGTTATTATTGTTTTTATGATTTGTAGTGTTAGTTTTTAGCTGCATACGAAATGTGGAATGCGTAGTAGTTGCAGTAGCAGTTCTCAACTTTCAAAAAACAAAAAGTTTTAAATTCTCGCTTAACTTGGACGTGTCGCCATTTTATTTTTATTCACAAGTTCAACGAACATACGAACATACGAACGAACGAACGAACGCACGAACAAAAACGAAATTACCCACAATTGCTTACAAACTATTTGTGATTCTGTGATTTTATGATTCTGTGATTCTGTAATTTTGTGATTCTGTGATTCTGTGATGCTGTGATTTTGATTGTAGTTGCGATTGTAATTGTGATAGTGTTTGTTGGCTATTGTTATTATATATATATTTATATATGAATAATTGTATTATGTATATTAATATATGACTGTTATGAGCTTTTGTGTTTAAATGATTTAAATGAATTTTTAATTATTGTTAACCATTATTACTAAAATGTATTTTAGTTTAAAAATAGAAAAAAATCAACTTTCTAAAAATTCAAAAACTAATTAATCAAATAATTATGTATATATATATATATTTATTTAAATCATAACTACTTAACGAAAAACTCTCAGCTAATGATTGACAATTTAAGATTTCATTTCATAACCTCTTTTACTGTTTAGTTTTACTATACTGTTTATTTAAAATATTTTTTCTACTAATAACCCACATTAAATAAACAAGATATACTGTTTAAAATAAGAGTAGAGGAGTCTGTTAAAAAAAATACAAAACTTTCTATTTAGTACATAATTTATGTCATGATTAATCTAATACATAATCTCAAGTAATATTTTTACAAAGTAAACAGAGAGATTTATACTACGTAGTAAGCATTTATCTTCTGTAGGCACACATATTAAAAAAAAATTAATATACATATATATCTAATATTATTAAATTAATATTTCATTAATTCGTATAACAAACATGTATAACTGATATTATTATTTACAATAAATTTTTATTTATATTTAAACCGCAATTATTTTTTTTTTATAATAACAATTACAATATATATATGTGTATATAGCACATATTTTATACAAAATATATTATATATGTATAGAATACAGAATACATATATATATATATACAGAATACATATATACAGAATACATATATACAGAATATATATATATACAGAATATATATATATACAGAATATATATATATACAGAATATATATATATACAGAATATATGTATATACAGAATATATATATATACAGAATACATATATATACAGAATATATATATATAGAATATATATATATACAGAATATATATATACAGAATATATATATACAGAATATATATATACAGAATATATATATACAGAATATATATATACAGAATACAATATATATAATTCAATACATTATATACAATATAAGTTATATATAAAATAAGGTATATCAACTTTACATACATGATCTAATTTATATAGAACAATATTACATATAGAATATATTATATACAGAATATATTATACATAGAATATATTATATACATAATGTATTATATATAGAATATATAAAATATAGAATATTTTATATATAGATTATATATAGAAAATATATATATTATTATATATAGAAAATATTATATATAGAATATATTACAATGTATACAATATATATACATATAAAAGATAATAAATTATATATAAATAAAGTATTATATACATATAAAATATTATAAATAATATATATATAATATATTACATATATTAGAACTAAATATATATACATATCTAAACAGCTGGAAGCACAGCTAAAGAAAAATAATTTATTTGTTTATGTGTTGTTAAAACTCTACATCAGTTAACTTTAAATATTATAACAAAAAATATAAAAACAAAATATATATATATATACAAAATTAAAAACTGAAATATTTTAAAGCGGAAATTTGTTTCTACGTATATGTATTTTATCATATATAAACCCATATATATAAATTGATTTTTTATGTAAAAATATTTATATATGATTTATTTACATACTTAATACATATATATATATATATATATAAACCGCATATATGTGTGTAAAATAAAATTAAATAATATTATATATTCTTTAGAAGTTATAAAAATTATTAATCTTGATTTGGGTATATATTTATTATAGTTATTGGTGTATCTATAGTCAGAAGTTTTTAGTTTGTATATATGTACAACACTTCTTTAATATTTATATATTTATTTATATTCATAAATATTCAAATACTTATAGGAATATGCCTGTTTTTTAAAAAATAGATAGCTTATTCATATATATAATATTATTTCATAAGTAATCATATATTTAGAAATATGTATATTATTTCTTAATTGGGATTTATTGTATTATTTTTATAGAAAACTGTTCCTTTTGGTATAATTTTTTTTTTAAATAACATTAAAAATCAACCTGTGTCAATCATTAATTAAATCATAACAGAAGATATCATATTATTCTGTATTAAAAAATATCTACAATAGAAAAAAATATATGAAATTGTTATTTATATATGTGTTGTGATTAAAATCATTGGTTGGTGTATAATAATAGGTTTAAGATTCTGAAGGTGAAAGTGGTAAAGGTAAATCAAATAGAAATATTATGGAGTGGGTTTTTGGGAAGTATTTTACGTTTTTGATTTATTTGTTTATATTAATATATGTTAATAGTATAATTAGTAACTTTTTTTATCATTCATTCACTCATTAATCAAACTATTATTTTAATACCTCTATCGTTCATGCAATTTGTAAGCAATTTAAGAGAGAAAAATAACACATTAAATTTATTATTCTATGCGTTTCAAAAATCAGTTAATTTAACAATTAACCAACCAATAAAACAATCAATCAATTAATCAATTTATATATCAATGTATCAATTAATCAATCTGGCAGTTGTATTCACCTTTGTTAAGGAAATAGGCGCAATTTCCTGGGTAACATTAACAATATTATTTTCAAGTTCCGTATTACTTTCTTTACACTCTCCGTCTTCATCTTTGCTAAGTGAAAGCTTTTCGATTTGACTCACAAGCGAATCATCGATACCTCCAACTGTTTGCTTTGTTTCAGGAATTACTTCCGCTGCTACATTTGGAATAATATTTTGTGTTTCTAAATTTTCGGCCACAATAGTTGGCACAACTAAATCAGTTTCTTGTTTCTCTTGATTTGAATCGAAATCTGCTAGCACATCATCCACATAATCAACCAAAATTTCGTTCTTATCAGGAGAAGGAAGTTTCGTTTGGATATCAACAAATTGAGAGCATGATGATAATGGGATATTTTCCTCTGCAATAAGTTCTTTGTTTTGCTCACGTAGTTTACGCTCAATCTCTTCTACTGCTTGTTCAGTGACATCATCAACAACTAATTGAATTTCCCGAATTTGTTCAGTACTTACAATTAAAGGTTTATCGGATAATTTAACATTGTTTTCCATAAAAGCAGCCTTAGTTTCATTTGTTTCAGTTGGGATTTCTTCTTCAATTACAGCTGTTACATCCGCCTGATATAGATCTGTAACATTATGTTTTTCTTCAGTCGATTCATTTATATTAGCGGTTGTATCAGCTGTTGGAACTTCTTGCTCAATTTCTTCAATTTGTTGAATTTGTTCAATTTCAACATTTGGATCAATTATTGTAGGTTCTACTTGTGGACCAGCCGATAGTTTACTAAGTTCAGCTGCTAAAATTGGTATAACTTGTTGTATTTCCTTTGGATTTTCGATATCTCCATCCGTTAAAATAGCTTGTAGTAAGCACTTAGTATTGATGGTGAGTTTTTCAGCCAGTAATTCATCATCTGCTTCTTCTTTCGTAACAACATCAACAACCTTGCTAACACATTCTTCAGATTGTTCGGTTTGTTCGATTTGTTTACTCAAATCTTCTTGTGGTTCTGGCAAAACATTGGTGGTATCATCACTGATAATGCTATTTACATTTAATTCACTTGTAACCTGAATATTTGTTGCTTCAAGTTTTTGTTCGTTAGTATGTATCACAGGTGCGTTTGACTCCGCGGTTACCTCAGTGTTAACCTCATCGTTAACATGAGCGTTAACCTCAGCTTGGTCAATATTAGATCCAATATCCAACAACGTTTTGACTTCTGCTGCTACTGTTTCAATTTTTGTTTCAAATTGCTCGCAGGGTGGTGATGTCTCTGGCGACATTGTGTTGACCGCAATAGTTTGCTCAGTTGAAATTTCATCAGTTTCTGAATTGTTTTTGAATGCAAAAACCGAGACATGTGACGGTGGAGGGGATATGGGTAAAGGAGGAGGTTGGGTATCATATTGAGAATTGAGCTTATTATCAACATTAGGCTTAATATTTTCAATATCAACATCCGTTGCCGCGACAATAACATTGGCAGCTGCATCATCAACACTTGTCATGGTGTCGACAACAGTTTTAACTGTTTCTACTTCATTAATTACATCGCTTGCATTATTTGTATTAATGGTTTGGGCGTAAGGGTCGGATGAGGTAGTGGTCATAGTAGTTTGGAAGGAAGGTATATTTTGTGTAGTGTTTATATTATCAATGCTGGTGTTTACCTCAATTTGCGACTTGGATTTTTCAGCATCAGCTTCAGTTTCATCAACTGCGTTCGTACCATTTTGATGAGGTTTCTCTTCGTTTATTACATTTGGAATGGTTTTAATGTTTTCGGTGAGAGCAGCAGACACTTCAGTTTCCGCTTTGTCTATCGATTTTTCAGTGTTTTCTTCAGTAGTCAAAACTTCAGCAACAACATTCTTCTCTACTGCAGATGCATCGACACCATTACTTATGGTCGCTGCAATAACAGTGGCTTCAACAACATCTACGGTATTGGTGGCAGTTTTAGTTTGTATTTGAGTGGCAGTTTCGTTAGTAGCCGCAGGCACATTAGCATTGGTTGTATCGGTGGTTGCATTGGTGGTGCTTTCAATGACAATGGCTTCGTCCGGTTTCTCGCCAGTTGGTGTTGATATTGGCGTTTTTTGTCCATTCAGCTCACTCTCAGTGGCATTACCATTCTCAAGTTTCTCATCACTTCCCTTAGCTTCAACGTCGCTTGCAACAGCACCTTCGGCACCTTCATTCTTACTTTCGCTCACCTTTATTATTTTGAGAAAAAGAAAAATTAGTTTTATAAAACAATTAATATATTTATTTGACAATAAATTATGATTAAAATTTTTAGATAATTTTTAAACATACTTCATCAGTAGCACTTTTTTCGGCATCACCATTTGTAGCAGCGGCAACATTCTCAGTTGCTTCCTCCGTTTTGCTTGGCTTTTGTTTGTCCTTTTTGCCAAAAGAGATGCTACGGAAAGACCATTTCCTTTTCTGTTTTTCCTTCTTCGCTTTTTTCATGCTATCGTCGGATAATGGCGAAATTTCTTCAGTTGCTGCACCTTCCTTTGGTGTAGCAGATTCGTCTTTTCCTGGTTCCACTACTGGAGAGCTAGTATTGTTTTCGCTTGCATTGTCACCACCAGCCTGTGCAGCTTCACCGCTTTTTTCGGTTGTTAAGTCTTTATCGTTTTCAGATTCATCGTGTTCCTTTTTCTAAATGTAGAAACAGAGATTATTTTAATAGTTATTTAGTTTTATAGAATTTTATTTTAATAAAATAAAATAAAAAAATGATATGAACATTACGACATACTTCTTCACTGATGTCTCTGTTACGATAATTACTATAAAAGTGTTATATAACATAAGACTAAGTTAAAACGACAGAAATTTGGGTCTTGCAAAACAGGGTTTCTCGTTATAGATATATTGTCATAAGTAACGTCATTGTTCTAACCACACTATAAGTCTCATTAGCTTCTGAGAAATCAAATATCAGTAAGCCAAGCTGCAAGTGAGTATCTTAAGTAATATCAAGCTTATATTATTTTGTTTTGTTTCTATTGATTTGGAGCAATTTTTTGAATAGAGTTTTAACCACATAGAGTCGTAAGTAAAAAATTTCAGGCAAGAGAACTGCAAAAAGCAACAATTACGAAGAATATTTAATAATGGCCAAAAAAAATAAGTAGAAATATTTTTATTTTATACTCGATTAGTACTTGAGTATACTTAAGATACTGGACCTAAACAAAAATTAATTTTGCGCCTCTAATGATAGTTAGTCTCCGACAGAAAAGTGAATTTTGAATGAAAAAGTATCAATAATCTGACCTAAAGAGCATACGACACATCTTTACAACCAGCGGAAGATGTCCTTTATCAACAGAACAGAACTGTCGACAGATCATTTGATCTGACCTGTTTTATCATCCTAATAAAGTGAATATCCTTAAGTAGGCAGAATGTTGTTTACGCTTGGAAGTAAATGAAACATAAAATTGTCTGGTTTTAATCACAGCTAGAGTGAGAATATATCAATGATAAGCTTCTGTTTCAGTCTGAGTATTGAAAAAATCGTAACCGGAGTCGCATGCTTTGATTTGTTGGAAGTCTAGAGTATTATATCATTATATTATATTATAATATATTATTATATTATATTATAATATATTATTATATTATATTATAATACATTATTATATTATATTATATTATAATATATTATTATATTATATTATATTATAATATATTATTATGTATTGCTTTTTATTTAATTTGTATTATTTTCTATTCTAGATCATTTGATGGCTTACATGTTATGTTGGTAGGTCGTGGGACTTTAAACAGGGATGTGTTCGCTTCTACTAACGACGACTGGCTGGAAGTTAATTAGTTCTATTCGATTTTACTAATGAAACAACAAAAACACAATCACTCGAAATATAAGACAGTAGTATAATGGATTTAATATGCAAAGTTACAATTAAATTTAAATGATGTTATTATTGTACTCAGTCGCAATTAATTAGCGAGAAAATCAAATTATTCTTAGAATACTACCTTTCAGAATTGCTACCTTTCTCGTAATAAGAAATTTATAGTGCTTTTAGTAAGCAACACTATTTTAACTAATACAATTTATTGATCTTAATTTTGTGTCCGCACCGGAAAGAAACTGAAGTTCTTTCCTTTTCTCTATCTATAACCTTTTCTGGAGCTATAAGTCTATGCTTTTAATGTATCGCCAGCATATTGTTCACTACTGAAACCTGTCTTTGAAAATCAATGTTTCAAGCAAGCGATCCTACACATCACACCAACCTTCTGAGTGTGTCAACATTTTAATTACTGGTAACCAATCCACTCCTGCGTTCATATAAACGGATCGGGCGCTATTCTACGCCTAAGGACAGTACCTCTCGCAATACCCCTAAGCACCATCGGTAATATCTGGACTCATCTTGTTTTTTTTAGTAAACATACCATAGATATTATTTTTTTTTTTAATTTACGTAGTTGATTTTCTTAAAATTAAATGTAGGTGTACTGTACGTACACCTAAACTGTATTGCTAAACTTACCTCAGCATCAATATTTTCTTGTGGAGTTGCATCCCCATTAGCTTGCTTTTGGTCAATATCTTCAATTTTTTCTAATTTTCCAGTTACTTCTTCTTCTGGACCTTTTTTGGTCTCGGTGGTAATATCAACTGAACGTTTACTTTGAGTTTTTCCCATTTTTACTGCAAAAAAAAAATATATATGTATAAAAATTCGTTTTACTTATTTGTTATGTTGTTTAAAAAAGAATGATTTTAAGATAATAGATAAAAAGATGAGAAGAGGAGACTGGCATGCTCTACCCTTTTTTTTATTCCAGCTTATGAAGTGAGAGAACGAACTTTACTCTATTCGCTTGAACACAATCTTTACACTTGTAATTTAAAATTTTATATCCACTATATACTTATATGGATTAAAATGTTAAAAGTCATGAGAAAAACATACCAACAACAAATTTTACAACAATAAAAAGGAAAACAAATAAGCGTTTGCTTAGCAATAGCAGCAACAACAAAAACATTTACAAATAAGAATTGCCATCGTTTATCTTTATATCTTAAGGCAGGCAGGCATTGTATTGTTAGTTAAAAATATCAATTTATTTTTAAATGACATTTGAAAAGAAGCACTTATCGTATTCAGACGAAGTAAATTTATATGCCGGCTGATGAACGGTGCCAAAGAGGCACAGCAATTCAGTTTGTATGGCAAACTCAGCTCAATTCTGCTCATCGACGCATTTTATCACATCGTATCGCATAGCATTGCATGGCATCGTATCGCATCGCATCGCATCGCACCACATCACAACATCACATCACAATACATCACCAACAGATTGCAATGGAGCAAGTAAGCAAGTAAGCAAGTAAAGCGGATGTACAAGTGCGACAAATTGATTTGGAGTAATTTTACTTAAACTTGTGTATTTATAAAGTACAAAAAGTAAATTATTCTTTTCTTTATTTAATACATACATGCATATACATATATATATATATTTAAGTATATATATAGGGAGTGCACATCTTATTGCATTCAGAAATACTTCACGATATACATATGTATGTGTGTGCATATAAATTTGATAAGAACATTCTTGAGGCGTTTAATTTACGGGAAGCCACTGAGCCACTGAGGCACTGTACTGTGTAAAGATAAAACCGATCAACATGTTGTCCCAAATGTATTAAAGTTTATTTATAGACTTCTTTTAATTTATGATGTGTTAATTTTTGACTGTAGGAACCCCCCAGTACTTGGGCGGTAAAAATAAGTATACATTTAATCATTGATAAATTGGAATGTTATGGTCTTAAATATTTTGAGAAACTATCTTATGAAGGAAAAACAATTGGAAGAGACTAGACAGAGCATGCAGCTAATCTAGTCAAGAAAGAGGCGAAATTAGTCAATCTAATGTTTGATATATTTCTTATTAATTATAAACAATATAAATAGTTAATAATAATAATTTATATATATTTATTAATATTAAATATGAATGAAATCATATTATAGGAAAATTTATTTTCAGTCTCTACCGAGATTCCTAATTTCATGGGTGTATCCAGGAAGCCAACCGAGTGAGCGATAAGGAATAATTATATAATATATAATTTTGTTTTAAATTTTTTGAATTGTTACGTCGAAAATATTTTTTTTTAAAGTCGGTTTTGTCTTTCAGAATTTTGACTTTTATTTCGATCGTTGTTTTTAGTATATATCTATATGTATTTCGGAAAAATTCGCTTTTGCCTTCATTAGGAGAATTCCTAATATTATATTATACGTATAGGAATAAACTAAAAATGCGATCGAAATAAAAGTTAAAAAAATAATTGGATTTATTTTTATACAACAATTTTTCAAAATATTCCACCTACACATAAACTATATAAATAAAATTATATATTAAAATTATAAATATATTAAAATCTATTAAAATTACATATAATAAAAAACAAAAGATAAAATAGAAACGAATACAGAAAAAAGATTTCAAAAAAATAGGGAATAAAATAGAAAAACATATAATAAAATAAAATAAAAATAAATAAAAACTAATATAAAATAAATAAAAATTAATTATAAAATAAAATATAAAAAAGTAATAATAAATAAAAATAAAGAATAATTTAAAAAAAATATAAAATGGTTTAAATAAATTTTTTTTTAAAAATATATATATATATATTTAATATTACTTTTAATATTAAAAGTAATATAAGAAAATATGAAAAATTCAAACAATAAAACAAAAAAAAATACAATACGAAAAAATAAATAGAAAGTAAATAATAAAAAAAAATAAATAATAAAAAAAGTATGTAAATTGCAAAAAAAAAAGGAAATATATAAAAAATAAATTATAAAAAAATAAATTATAAAAAAAGTAAATTATAAAAAAAAGTAAATAATAAGAAAAAGTGAATAATAAGAAAAAGTAAATAATAAAAAAAAGTAAATAATAAAAGAAAAGTAAATAATAAAAAAAAAGTAAATAATAAAAAAAAGTAAATAATAAAAAAAAAATAAATAATAAAAAAAAAGTAAATAAAAAAACAATAAAAAAAAACAATAAAAAAAAACAATAAAAAGAAAACAATAAAAAAATTAGATAATAAAAAGTAATTTAAAAGATAAAATAAATAAAAGAAAAATAAAAATTAAAAGAAAAATAAATAATAAAAGAAAAATAAATATTAAAATAAAAATAAATAATCAAAGAAAAATAAATAATCAAAGAAAAATAAATAATAAAAGAGATAAAGAAACTATAAAAATAAATAAAAAAAAAGAGTTAAAGAAACTATAAAAATAAATAATAAAAGATATAAAGAACATATAAAAATAAATAATAAAAGAGATAAAGAAAATATAAAAATAAATAATAAAAGAGAAAAAATAAAAATAAATATATATCAAATTATATAATTTAAATTTAAAATACTTTATGCATTATTCAATTTAAAATTTGCTGATAAGAGCCACAAGATAACAATATATAAATATAGAAAAATAAGAATTGGAAGTGCAGCCTACGCAAATGGTTTCTGTATTCTTATGACCACCAGAGTAAAGCATTAATTATACAACTATTTCGCTTATGCAGTAAATTCTTAGAGAATTTTTATTATTGCATTGGACTTACTGAAGAGTCCGACTCCGACTCTGACTGTGGGAGTTCCTTTTCAAGCACTTGGATAAATGCGTAGAGTAGCAAAACTCATGATTAAAGTAGCAATTAAAGGCATTTATTAAAGGAATTTTTTTTATTTTTTTTTTCTTACAAGAATGTAACGATAATATAAAGAAAGCATTAAGAATTCATGTATTCATTTTAAAGTTGATATTTCCGTTTCTTAATTACTATGACGATTATTTTTTTAGGCAATAAAATGTACGCGAGTGCATGTAACAGAAGATAAAATGCCAAGGATAAGAAGTTATCGATGTGGTGCATGAATGTTGCGTGTCGTGTGTATGTCTCGTCCGTCCGTCTGTCTGTCTGTATGTCTGTCATCTGTGACTTAAGTACAATCTATCATATTTGAGTCCGTACTCAAATACACAAATATTGAACGGAATAATAAAGTTCCCTTATCAATAATCATTTGCACCTAACTGTACTAATGCATGATCAATCGAACTGAACTGTCAGCGACGGCAACATTCCCATTCCCGCAAAAGTGAGATTTCAGCTAATTATAAAACTATGGGGAAAAGTACGTCGTCTAACCTTTTGCTAAATTTAGATCACCCATGAATCAGATCAGATCACAGACGTGGACAGACACAGTTTAGAAAAACAAAATTAAATAAGAACATAATACATTATAAACAAAATGTAATATAAACAAATTATTAATTCTTTTTTTTTTTTTTTTTTTTTTTGCAATTCCTGAAGAATTAAATGACGATATGTGTGTGGCAAAAGATTGCATTACACTCAAACTGTCAGTTAGACAGGAAATTAAATTCTTCTCAACATCAGTCAAAAGCTCTGCTTAACAGAATTTATTTATATATATATTTGTTATATATATATATATATAACTAAAGCTAATGAAATTATCTATCTAAGCTAAATAAAAAGTTATTATTAATTTTTAAAGTAGAACTTCTAGCTTCTCTGTTTATAAATGAACTCTGTTGCCGGCTCATCCAAATTCAGAACGCATTAATAATAAAATATATGTGAATATATGCCGAGTCGGTATCAAATGCCTAAACTAACTAACTCTGCCGTCTAAGCGATTTAATTCATTTCAATTTCCTGCAGGTTCTCCTCACTTTAAAATGCTATGCCGACACTTTTTCATTAAAATCTATGCGCAATAAAAAGATTTCTATGAAATTAATATGATTTTAGATAATACAGACGTAAATAAATTATTAAAAAAAATAAACAAAAATCAGAAAAAACATAAATAAATAAAGCAAAAAGTTGACTCAGAAAAAATATATTAAGAAAAAATGTCTATTAAGTTTATTTAGCATCAATGAGTAAAAATCTGTCAAACGATATGCGTGGAACTTAGAGTTTCTAATAATTCCCTAGCTAAGATAATTTTGTTCATAAATATATAAACAATATGTATAAAAGATATATAACAAGAACTTGTCAAAAAGGATCAGTCAAGTAACTAGAAATGTACTGATTTCTTTAGTGCAAATAATTTTATTTCTGCATATAGGATGGATAATGCTATTTTATAAGAGATAGAATGGATAATATTATTTCGTCACACATAGAATGGATAATATAATTTGATGACCTAGAATAGATATCTTTATGATGTAGGATAGATATTATTTTATGACATAATGGATACTATTATTTAGTTAGTATCCAGCTAGTTAGGACAGAAGTTTTTAATGTTTACTCCAACAACAATTTAAATATTATTTTATATTTCTCATCTCACAGTGTTGTAAAAGATAATATTCTAACATTGCATCAAAATTTGAAATAAAATATTTTAAGACAATCTATGTTCTATATATGAGTATAACATTTGTGCATTTTACTATATTCATGACTTAAGACCACATACGCTCTAACACAATAAACCTGACATCTATTTTATATAATTCAGTCTCGTTCGTTAGCAAAATTCTTAAGTCTAATCATTCTAAAAAGTAATAATAGCTATGCAACACTACCTATAGACTC